ACAGGGAGTGTCCCAACAGGTGGAGCTAGTCGTGTCTGGTGACTGTATACAGATATCACTAATGTGAGAACAAGTTTAAAATATAATATAATAGGGGCGACCTAATTGAGGTGTATAAGCATCTCGAGGGGCACTACTCAGTCAAGTGTCCTTATTTGGAGCTGGCGGACGCTCGCCTCACGAGGGGTCACAGCTCAAGATTCAAGAAGCCGCAGGTCCAGAAAACTGTGAAGGCAAACTTTTTCGGAGTGAGAGTTGTGAACTCTTGGAACAATCTACCAGAAAGTGTTGTGACGGCACCGAGTGTGAGCTCTTTCAACATCAGACTTGACCAACACTGGAGCAGGTTCAGGTACATTCAGGAGCCGGTGCATGCCCAGTACTTGCCAACAGTGCGTAACAGAGACGTGACTGACTAATTGGTGAAGAGGATAAAAGTAATAGAGACGTGACCAATCGCCCAAGCGGCTAACGAGCTGATCAGTGGTGAAGAGGATAAAAGTATACTGCAGGGGCGGATCCAGGAACATCAAACGAGGCGGGCCCAAGAAGTTGTGGGTTGGGGAGCAGGGTGAGCACAGTGAGCTCACTTAGCAGGGGGTGGTTGGGGGAGAGGGCATTTTGAAGCCATGTGCACATAATTATACAGGTACTAGGAGAAACTTTGAGATCAATAGTAATTACTTTTTACTATACAAAAATGTCAGAGTACAATACTGTACTGCATTAAAGAAAATGTATTGTAATTTTCTGAAGAAAAGGGGGGGGGGGGTTACAGGAGAGGTCCTGTAGGGTTACGTGAAGTTATGTTGTCTCGCACTCAGGATGGAATGGATGGAAACTCTAGGTGGTGGTTTTCTTATATAAAATATATATACAAAACAATCTGGTGCTGGAGATGCCGTGTGGTGAGAAGCTTGCTCAGAAGACAAGTTGGGTGAGTAGCGTGCTGGAGCTTCGTTAGAGGAGATGTTGCGTGTTGCTGGCCTCCAGGTTGAATGAGAGCTGGACAGCGAGGAGCTTGCTCAGAGGAGGTGTTGCGTGTTCAGGAACTTAGGGTAGAATGAGAGCTGGTCAGCGAGGAGCTTGCTCAGAGGAGGTGTTGCGTGTTCAGGAACTTAGGGTAGAATGAATCTCAATGACGAGACTGAGAACTTATATACACAGCAGCCGGGAATAAACCCGGATGCAAGCGTCGCAGGTGGTGCCCCCCCCCCGAGAAACTCGCCGGTTGCTAGGATACTGTCGCATTAGAATGCAGCTAGGCTTGTCAGATGTGAGGAAGAGTTGTAGTGGAATTCTCCCCTACAAACGCTGTTTGTCGCTGAGTAGCCGATCCCGCGAATTCCCCAGTGTATGCCTCGTGGTCTAGGTCAACCAGCGTTGGTGAGGATGCTCAGAGGAGGACAGCTTGTGGGTCGCCATGCTCGCCGGCGGGAGCGAGGACCGCCAGGCAGGCGGAAGAGGAGGTGTTGCTGGCTGGTTGGTGAGGATGCTCAGAGGAGGACAGCTTGTGGGTCGCCATGCTCGCCGGCGGGAGCGAGGACCGCCAGGCAGGCGGAGGAGGAGGTGTTGCTGGCTGGTTGGTGAGGATGCTCAGAGGAGGACAGCTTGTGGGTCGCCATGCTCGCCGGCGGGAGCGAGGGCCGCCAGGCAGGCGGAGGAGGAGGTGTTGCTGGCTGGTTGGTGTAGGTAGAAAGAGAGCAGTCACCACGAGGTCAGGTCTTTTATAGCGGAGGTAGGCGTGGGTAGATAGTTGACCCCTGCTCCGTGGGCGGCGCTGGTTGACCTAGACCACGAGGCATACACTGGGGAATTCGCGGGATCGGCTACTCAGCGACAAACAGCGTTTGTAGGGGAGAAATCCACTACAATCCACAACAGTCCAGAACCCCCGGGTCGGGACTTTTCCTGTAACCTCCCATGTTGTGAACTCTAAGAACAATCTGCCAGTGTTGTGACGACACCGAGCTTACGAAGATAAAGGTTAAAAAAAAAAAGAATACAAGTACAGTACAGTACCTGTACATTTAAGTTTGACTGTCATAGTGTGTAAAGTTACTTTACTAAAGTACTTACAAAAGATGAAAATAAATACCACGAAGGACCATCTTTAATGGAACAGCATCGCAAAGGAATGCCAGCTCAGGTTTATGTCCATTGTCCAGTGCTTGACGGAATTGTTTAAGAGTGAGAAAAAACATTGAACTCGGCCAGGGATTGAACGCATGACACAATTGTAAGTGATACGCGCAATAGCTGTACCAATATATTACCCAAATCATAAAAAAAATTCGTTGCGGGTAAATATTATAATAAATTTCAAGTAAAGGATAGCTTTGATACATAAACTCCCCTTTCGTGACATTATAATTCCAACGGGAGGAATTGGTGACTGATATTGTAGGGTTAAGTGATAACACTGTGCCCAGATGTCCTGTTGACATGATCAAAATTACCAGAATCATTTTAGAACATAAGTGATCAGGACATTTACTTTTTGCTATTCTATTTCTAGGATCAAGCTGATATGAATATTGAACAGGTATCTATTTTTAGAGGATTACAGTACTATCTTGATTATCCAGTCTGTTGCCAGTCTGTGGGAAGCGAAGGTAATTATGATTATAAATTATATCCTAGTAATTCTATGATATTGAATGTTGCAAAGAATGTAAATTGAAGCTGTATATTATTTGACAAGTTAAAATGTTTCCCATTCTCTGACACTCATGATGGCCGCAAAGCACAGAAGATACGGTGAGGAGGACAGAGCCTCAAAAAACAAGAAACATGTCAGTTCACAAAAGGATAACACTACTACAAAGCAAACCAAGCAAGAAGAACATAAGCCGCCATCTATTGTTGTCGTTTTAGTATGTGGTAAGGTCATATTAATTTGCAATTACTAGGTTATTCTGAATTCGTCTGAGCAGAACATCATCAGGAAGTTGTGTATCGTCTGTTAAAGCATTGTATTTGGAGTATGGTAATGGAAATCACCTTAGAAAATTATTAATGTTAAATAAAACATTTGAATTTAACACTACTTTTGGAATTTTGATGTATTTATATATAAAACTCCTGTTGGATTTGTTCTGGCACCTGGAGTATAATATAAGCCTTTGATAAACACATCGCTTTTTCAAAAGAACCCAGATTAATTGTGTTGATATTAATACATTGAATTAGTTCACTTTTTCGAAAGATTTTGTTTGGATGATAGTAAGAAAATTGAAATGACAATGCACAGGTGAAGAAGTTAGGGTAGGTCATGTATGTTAAGTAGTATTAGGTGAGGTTCTAATAGATTCTGTGCATTCTCGTTTCCATTTTTGTGTTCAGTATCATGCAAATAGTATCTCAAGGAAATTTTGATTCGGTTAATATATGACTGGTGACCATCAGCCGTTCGGTAATTATGGAGGGTGCTTTTAGACAGTTTTGTACGCTAAATCTTAGGAATGGAGGTTAGGTTAGATATAGTTCCTGGGTTCTGTGGCTAGGTTGGTTAGATTTAAATACAGTGGTGACCGAAACTATAATTTTACCACTTTCTCTTTTATTTATTTTCTTGGGCAAATGCTTAGTTTTCGAGACATAGGCAAATTAAGATGGAATCTTACAGTCGCTTCATCAACTGTGATGCGGCAGATGTAAACAATGCACCGTGGCAGTTATTTCTGGTGCTGACTGCCTCTTCCACATTTACCTTATAATCTGATGAAGACAACCCCCTCTCTTATGCTAAGAAAATCCCCCCCAAAATAATGATGCAGATTTTTAGTTTTCATATTATTTTGACAACTTTATTTTTGTCCCGAATACTAATTTACATCCACCTACTTCTCCTGTCAATGCTATTTTCATTGTTTAAATGACCGTTGGTGATACAAAAGTGACAAGCGTAGCGCTCACTGTGTTATGGTCTTGGTCCAGGATAGATCAAGGGAAGGGTGTTATCCTGTGTGACCCTACCAAGCACAGATTTCCTCAGGGTGCTCCACTTTTCTCCTGTACTGTACTAACTATGGAAAAATAAAGGATGAAGTTTCAGTAAAGCACTTGCACGGAATTCAAGTATATAGTATTAATATTTATTTGGAATGATAAAGTATGGAAATTAATAGTTTTGAACTATTTTGGTTATAAAGTTATGAAAAAACTTATAGTTGGACAGGTTTATGTTTGTTGGAATAAAATTCAAGGGATATAATGTATACTTCTTATTCGCGAAACTTAACATGATCATGCTCGACCAATCAGGGGAACTCGGTCTTACTTGATAAATCTACACATGCCTAAGTATCTGAAATGAAAATCTTCAGTTGCAGTATGGTTTAATTGTGTTAAGGTTGTTCTGTGCCTGAATGGGAACCAAACAATGTGTTTTGGTCAATAATACTGCTGTTATGGACATTCTCAAGGCCCTTGGTGTATTGCTTACTACCATAAAATGTTCAAAGTGTGGTGCAGACTACTGTACTATTATTGGAAAGATAAGCGCGTTTAGTTTTAATATAGACGCAAAATCAAGACAAAGGTAAGGTTAGGCTTAGTTTCCTTTGGTTTAGTTGGGTCAGTTTTAGTCAATAATTTGTAATTAACACCCACATAAATTTATAGTTTCTGATTTATTTTTCATTTTGATTTCACTTAAGAAATTAAAAGTTTTGGGGAATATACAGTAAGCATTGTTTAGGTCTTACTCCGCCAATCAGCAGAAGTGTCTTATGGCCTGTGATACTCGTGTGCATGCACTTACTCGAGTTTTTTGGGGGAAATTCATCTCTCTTTTTTTCGTTTCAGGTTTGGTTTCTTTAGTTTCCTTTGTTTTTCATTTGTCTTCTTGGTTTAGGTTAAGTTTACAGAGTCTGTCAAGCTAAAATGAACCATTGATACTGAAATTCTATTTTGTAGCTCAGCCCAATGATGGGAGCACCCTCCCTCCTTCTTTGGTTTTAGTGATAATCAGCTGGAAACTGATTCAGAAAGCAATATAGCAGCTGTAACTGGCATGTGTATAGTGCTGTGTAGACATGGCTTTATAGGTCTTTTACCTTATGATGTTGACCTTTGCTTCTGAGACACTCTTTTAAGGGGGATACAGTTGCCTGTTAAGAGTTACCGTATTCTACTATTCAAGACCCCCAAAATGGGTTGGGCATGTGTAAGGTGTCCAGCAGAGGTTCAGCTAGAAAATAAGATTTCAGGCTCAATCCTTCATTTTTTCATAATTCAGTAACTGGAAAAATAGATGGCTTGGCTTGAAAAACAGACAACATTTTAGCTTTTAGTTGCTTGAAAATGTGAAAGCTGTCCAAAATGTGTGACATAGCTACAGGATACATGTACTGCTCTTTTATGAGAACTGTACAAGTACCAGTATTTTACAAGATCATATGACTTGACTGGAAAAGTTTTATTTATTTTCCTCAAACAGGTATGACAAAAAATATTGTGTCCTATATGGATTAATACATTGCCTCCATTATATTCCTTTCTTTAAATGAATTGATGAGTAAAGACTTGCATCATTTCCAGCAATATGCTTCGGAGTGGTTCACAGTGTTCATGTAGCCACCATGTTTGAGAATGACAGACACTTCTCGCACCTCTCCAACTTGGAACGGGAGATGACCTTCCGAACTGAAATGGTAATGGTTTTCTCTGTTATTATTGAGTATTTTATTAGTGTATTATATTTAATACAGTACAGGTATTTGTTATTATTACTGTATTATTATTATTACTATTAATAGTATTATAGTACAGATAGTATTAAAAAAGTTTGGAGGTGTGGAAAATGTAGTCAAAGCACAAGGGAGAGTGATTGAAGCATCAAGCTATACAGTACTCTGCTGTTCTGCATGTATATATCACTTATGTTTTTTATTAGCTTATAATTACAGGTATAAATTTTATATAAGCATTCTCAGTGCCAATAGTGTGTGGATTTCTTTGTCTCGGAACACAGTCGCCCTCTCCTCCCTCGTTTTTTCCTCATTCCAGACCATCAAGGTAGTAGTATGCGGTGTGATGAAATATATATTTTTCTGAAAAAATATAATTTTGAAAACTAGTTTATTTTTAATAATAGGATGCAAATGATTTCAAACCATAAAAAACTGAAACATTTTGATGTTGATATTATCAGTTATCTTTTAATGTAATCTTCCATAGGGCCTGTATTACTCCTATTACAAGACACTGGTTAATGCTGATTCATTCTTGTTGGGCTTAAACCGCCTCATGCATGACAACCTGACGGAGTATCCAGAGACCATCAATACACTACAGAGGTTTAATCTCTATCCAGAGGTTTGTATGTCTTTTTTCTGTAGTTTGTCTATCTCGTTTTGAAAGAACTTTACTTGGAAACTTTTCACACCCTGAAGAAATATAAAGACACTTGCAAATGCTTTCTGGCATCTTCATGGTGTAGATTATCATACTGTACAGTACTCTTTTTCTCCTCTAATTTGTATTTTTTTTTCTCCTATTTTTTCACCCCCCAGGCCCTGTTGTGGGTCGATGACCTATGCCCAGGTGGGCTATCCCCCCCTCCCCCCCCCCCAAAAGTACTGTACTATATTGCTTGAATAAATTTCTGAATGTGTTTACCTATATGAGTTTAATAAACTGTTGGATTATACTGTACACAGTACAGTACTTCAATTATACAGTATCATTTTTAAATTTATACTACAGGTATTCATATTTACTTATTTTAATATTTTTGTATCGGTATACAGATCCTCCCCGACTTACGACCTACTCGACTTACGACCACCCGAACATATGACCGTCTCAGTCATAGCAAAATTTTGTCAAATTACGTATTTTCGATTCCCAACGTCAGTGATTGCTCTGTGCACTGACAAAATTTTCGTATGTAATTCACTATAAAATGGCTGGCAAGCTTAAAAGTGAGAGTTTTGTGGTGCTGAGAAGAAAAAGAGACACCCATTTTAGATTTTCTATGTATTATTTAAGCATTTTCGACTTACGACCTGGATTTGGTTCCCTAATCCCGTCGTAAGTTGGGGAGGAGCTGTAATGTATAATTCGTTTACATTAAGTAGATATGAGGTGATGCAGATATTAGTGAATACCTCAACATTTGTGTGAAAATCTGTTTTCTCTGATATCTCCAGAGTCTGTGGAAGAGAATGAACAATCTCCAAGGTGCCAGGTCATCATAGTATCGGGAAAATTAGAAGTACGTACTGTACTGTACAGCATTTGAAGGGGGTGTAATGGGCTTGTGCTGGTGGTCTTTGTGTTGGCGGGGCAGATATCAGTGATGACCTGGGGTGGTGGCTGGGCCAATCAGTAACAAGCATGGGCCTTACATCAGAGCCACTCCACTCTTCCTTTTTTTACCACAAATAATAACACTGCACATCATTCTAAAGATTGTGCTTCACATTCTCTATTATTTCTGCAGATTTTACCCAAATTAGTGCTTTTGCCTGGAGATTCTGTTCTATTTTGTTATTGTACTAGAGAAAACAGATTTTTACATGAACAGTATGTTCAGATCCCCACAAATGTTTGCAATGCCTCATATGTTAATTCTTTTTTCAGCTTGTCCTTGGTGGTACATACCGTATTTTTAATGCAGTAACATCATGGTTGGGTTTGGAGATGCGTGTATGCTGGCAGGTAAGCAGAGGAGGAGGTCTTCCCCCAGTCATCAGCTGTGAAGGTTTAGGTGATCCAGCTTATTGGTATTTAGCTGGAGTATGGGCGAGTGCTGGTCTCACTGCGGCATTTCTCTTTATTCAGGGCACTGAACTTAGTGGTGACCTTCTTGGAGGGTTCCTCACAATTATTTGCTTCTTTTTTAACCATGGAGAGGCCACTCGGATACAGTGGACACCACCTCTGAGGGAAAGTTTTGCTTTTCCATGGAGTATTGCTTTAAATATTGCTGTTACTCATGTTGTACGTGCTCCACGACCAGTCTGGACTCGTCCCCTCATACTTGGTACCCTGACTTTATTGTACCTTCTCTGCTGGCAGTTTGCTCAGTTTACTTTGGTAGCTGTAGTTGGAATTGTGTATGTTATGTATACTATAGGTGCTATTAATCCTTTACCAATGTTACTGGTACTATTGGGTATATCATATGGATTTCTTAATAATGTGGTGCTGCAGTTTGGTAATACACTTCTAGTTTCATCACCTTTAGCTGGATGTCTTTTGGGAGTGTTGCTGTTGTATCTTTTCATGGAACCTATTATTCAGCACCTTCCATTCCCTACCAACACGGGTGTTCAGTTAGCTTTCCTATTTGTTTCTTGTGCTGCCTGTAAGCTCGAGTTGTCACGGATATTTGGTGTTGAAGATGATGCTCATATAATTAATATATTAAAAGCCAAATTTACAAATTACTCGGATTTCCATACGCTTCTCTATACTTGCTCTCCAGAGTTTGACTTTCTACCTCAAGAATCATTATATAAACTGAATGAAACGCTTCTCATTCCCTGTGTTGCTTTGGTTGGAGGTGCTATATTAATTAATAGCCTAACCAAAATTAAGAATAACATGATACAACGATTAGATGAAGAAACTGCTGAAGTGATTATTCCCATATGGTCAGGTATTGATCCTGGTGTTATGTATAATTGTGCATTATTAGCTGTGTATGCTCTGATGGCAAGTCTTATAATGCGCCTAAAACTTTTTTTAACCCCTCAATTGTGTGTTGTTGTATCATTGCTTGCATGTAGAAAATATTGGAAAATTATAGAAAGAAGGGAAATTCATGTTGCAATTTTGGCTGTACTGGTGAGTGGAATGTGTGTACGAGGATTCAAAAATATCAGTGAACAGAGATCCATAGTGGGAGAATACAGTAATCCTGAACTGGAAGAATTGATTGAATGGATTCAATCAGAAAGTCATGAAGATGCTGTATTTGCAGGTCCTATGTCTACTATGGCCAACCTTCTTCTTTCTACACAGAGACCTATAGTTAACCATCCTCATTATGAACATTCAGGTCTTAGAGACCGGACTAAGAAGGTATATAGTGTGTTTAGTCGAAGATCTGCAGAAAGCGTATATGAAACTCTTCTCTCAATGAAAGTGAACTATGTGGTGCTAGAAGAATCCTGGTGTATTCGCAAAAGACGTCCTGGATGTGGTATGGTTGACATCTGGGATGTAGAGGAACCTCAAAATAGGCACAAGCCGTCACTTTGTCCTCGGTTGTTCCACAGAAGCCCAGCTCCATTTCACCGGGTATTTGCTAATGATGTTTTTGTAGTACTTCAGGTTCCTTCAAGGTATGTAGAAATTCCTCCACCTCGATATCATAGTGCATAGAAAAATTATCAATAAGGCGACTAAAACACAATTCATTGCACATTGTCATTTTCATTGTAACAAGTGTAAATACTATGATGTGAAAGAGTAGTGCATAGTGCAAAATTTCTCGTAAGACTTTGTGATGAAATGTATGGTAAGTTTTTGTATTTTAGATTTTTACCTAAACAGTATATATAGTATAAAGCAGATTAAATGTGCCACCTTATTATTGTGAATTTTGTGAATATATTGTACATTACATGAATTGTTGTTAAACTAATTGTAAAAGGGTTTATTTTACCTTAATATTATTTGTATTTGTAATTATAGTGAATGTCTGATGCATTCCTACTGTAAAAGTGCGCTCGGATACCAAACTGTTTTTACCGTAACTCGAACCATGATCCTTTATAATACATACAGTGCGATTTCTCAGTAAGTTTTGGTAACCTTTGGTTATGATTTCACTGAGAGAAAACTTGAGGCAGAAGTGAACCTAAACAGAAGCTGAAAAGTTGCAGATGTGTCATGAATATCTGTCACAACAAAGCCACGCCAAGTGTATGTTGTAATTTACACCCACAGTGACTATAGTGTGGCATAGAGAACTAATGAGTGTTAGTTAGGAGAACTTTTGTATTTGCAAAGAGTATCAAATTACCAGCCATATGACAGCAGCATTTTCTTGGACCAAACGCTTTATTGAAGGAGGATTCTCAAATGCAGCAAGTGCTAGTTTTGCTACGAAATGTGCATTAATATTGTGATTGTTTGAATGACTAAATTTTTTGGAATGGAGTTTACTTGTGTGTTGTACAGGGCCTAGCCTGTACAGTATACTGTACTGTATTATACATAGCTTTAGACCTTTTATACTGTATGCCTCACACAAGATAATTGACTCATGGATGTTAGGAAATGCTTGAAAAATATTTATTTTTTATTTCTTGTCATTTTCTGTTTCTTGATATTCAGATTTGATATTTTAATGCCAGTGTTTGTTGGTGACAGGAACTTGGTATGATTACATAATATTTCAGGTGTGTCATACTGGGTTAAATATAGGGCTGGAGATGAAAAAGTTCATGTCACTCACAGTATTAAACTTTTTACCGAATTTTTTTTTTCATTTTATCCTTGTGTGTACGTATTGATAATTATAATAGTACGTACAGTACAATAAAGTATTTGGTTAAGGGCAAATTCAGTTACTCATACTGTTAAATGTTCTCTAAACCACATAAAAAAGTCTCCCTAAATAGGATGCTGTCCAGGTAATGTTCTCTTGGAACTTTTTAGATTCTAATTACAGTAGTACTGTAGTCCAGCCAGAATTTAGGGTCCTGTCTGCTTTTTTGTAGATGATCTTTTTTCTTTTTTCTTTAATAATTGGAATTTGTTATAGAGACCTACACGATGAGTGTAGGCCAACAACATCCTGTTGTTTGGCCGCCATCTTGGGAAATTAGTGGTGAATATGGCACCTAATTGATTTTTTTTTTTTGTGTTTATACAGTATACTGTACCTTGATTGAGCTTTTATTTTTGTTGGGTACTGTATGTTATGTAACTTAGTGAAACTGAGACATTTTGTTCAGAGGAATTTTGGGGTGAGTAATTTTGTTTTCCCTATTTTCAGGGATGAATTTTAGATGAAATTACACTACATAATTTGAAAATAAGAAATTATTGTACCTGTATTTCAGTGGCAAGGCTGAAGTTTTTAATTTGAATTAATATTAGCGGTTAACTTGGTGTAAATAATACTTTGGGAATTAATTTTTTATCTGAAAGTTTGGAGGTCATCTTGAATGTGTGTCATGTGATCACTGAATTAATAAGTGCCTAAATCTTAAATAATATTTGCCCAATTTCATTTATAAAAGCATTACAGTACTAGATAAGTAGAGTATTTTAAAAGTCTTTCAACTATTGTCCACGGTTAAATTTACATTGTCTTACAGGTTTTGAATTTAAAACAAAATATGTATTTGCCAAATTAGACAATTTTAACATTATTTGACTCATTTTTCAATATTGTGCAGGTATCCCTTGGATATATGAAAACTAACCCAACACTTCATCTCAATATCCGAAGGTGATATTCAATTATCTGAATTATCTAATCCTACACATCATCTCGCTGTCTGAAGGTGATTTTTGCTTTTCCAAATGATGGTCCAATTGAAATTTTAATTCACGTGCCACGTGCGGCCTGGGAGTCGACTCAGGTGGCCATTTTCTTTCCCTTGCACACAGGAACATATTCTTGCTGAAGGCACATGTCATCACCCCTCTTCCCTCTCGCATCCTCTATTCCCTCTGTATTTGATGCAAGTGAAGTGCTCTCTCTTTATCCATCAGTATTCATGCCATCTTTTTGTGAATCTGTATAATGGCATCCGAGTGTAGTGGTTATTCCTCTGCTACCCCCACCATCACCAAGAGACCGCACAAACCTGTGATAATTGAAATCAAGCTTGATATAGTCTTGTATCACAAATGGGAGGAGAGTCAAATGTAAGGTAATGTACTGTACCAACTGTATACACTGTATGTCTTTTATTTATCTCTCTCATTTAGGTGTAACACCTTAAATGTTTTGGTAAAAAAAAAAAATATATATATATATATATACAGTATATATATATATATATATATATATATATATATATATACTGTACAGTGTACATGGTCGGGAACTTAACACCATTTTTTCCATTTACAGTATTTTACAGTGTTATTCAATAATCCAGTGGCTTTCAGGGAGCCTAACCCATTTGGATAACAAGGGATGCCTGTATATTACCAGCCATCTGTTTCACCAACCATCTACACCACCAACCATCTACACCACCAACTGTTTATAATAGTTTTCCGTTGTGTTTGAGGCTGACTGGCTCTAAATTCACCCGTTGTGAAATAATTTAATTCCTGGACTGGGCAATTAAGAAATCCAGATATCCTTCATATGCACAAAAATACTGTACAAACAAATCAACTTTTACAGGTACAAATTTTTGTATTCTGAAATACATGCAGAACAATGAATAGTAAAGAATATAATGTTTCATTTACCATGTTGTGGTGTTAGAAGCATGCTAATGGTCAAGCACTAGAGGGAAGGAGACCAGTTGCTTGTATAGGATCCTTCCATTTTTCTTGATAATTTTGTCGAGGGCTATTTTGAAGCCCAGTACTGTTCTTGTCTGTAGTTTGGGATGGTAGACCATTCCATAGGTCTACCACCCTCTGTGTGAAAAAGTATTTTATCATTCCAAAATACTTTTTAATAAATTATAACTGCCTTGAATCTGAACAACTGTTTCATAGATTGCAGATGTTCGAACTCAAGATGTCTCGTGGAACAGTAGAATTTTTGAGTGTCGTAAACCAAATGAGTTATGTAAATGTTGTTGGCTAGTCTAGGCTTTCATCATCTGATCCATTGTCTTCTTTTATTATTAAATGTGAAACATAGACATATATACTGTTGTTGCACTAAAGGCGAAAAGGATACACTATTGTACAGAACGACCAGTGGAGACCAAAATTATGTGAACAATTCTTAAGACGCCACTTTTACGCACTTCACTAATTTCATCATTTTAAAGCTCACTTTAATAAATTTTTACTCTCCTTCAGACTCGAGGTAATGTTTGAGAGAACGATGTAATGGTGACTTGTGCTAGCAGACGACGTGTTCACTCGTGCTGTCAACTACAGGTATTTAGGGTGGGGGAACTACGTCTTCGTTGGCTGATAGACTCTTCATTTATATATACTGTATATATTAAACCTTTTAAAGTTATTTAATGAAACTTACAGTATTAAAAGTATATTTAATGGTTTTCTTGCACTAGAGGCCACAGCATACTGGTTTACACCAGCTTGCATAAGGGCAAATTTTTCTTTCATAAACCAAGGGGTGGTAGAAATTGGGTCCTTGCACATAAGTGAATCCACATATGTTGAGACCCAGGTGTATCTGTTGACCAAAAAATTGATTCAATCTATTTCATGAAAGTTTTGAACATTCGAAATATGAAATTTAAAAATATAAAATTTTCTTTATTTTTCAACATATTACTTATGAGTAAATAAGGAGAAATTACACAATCGGGCAGCTGGTTCAGTGAAAGTGTGTGTGGTGGTGTGAGTAATGAGTCTACTTCACATGAGTTTGAGGAGTAAGTAATGTGGAAATTGTAAGTGAATGAGTACACATTGAAAGCTTATTTAGAGACTTGATAACATTGAGATTTTGAGAATTATGAGCTAAGTTAGTGTTCAGATACTGAACAGTATTTGTAGAAACTAATAATACTGTATAAAGATACTGACACAAGTACATATACTATGGTTTATTACATGCTTTCCTTAGATACGTGTACATACTGGTATCCACTATGTAATTATTTTATGGAAGCCTTTTGGTCCCAAGGTTTTCAGTTGAGAGATACTTTACACTCTTTCAAGTCATAAATGCCTTTGGCTGCCTGTATTACCTGTTTGGGTCAGTGGACTCCTCTGGCAAATTTGTTGGACCACCTCTTACTGGGTAGTAAATTTTTTATTCTACATTTCCTTTTATCTGAATAATTATTATAAATAGCTGTTTAGAAGGTTTCTTTTATTTATCAATTGAAAACATAATTTGTTTTAGGGAGTCCAGGTGGTGTATAAATATACCTGTAAACTCAACGGAATGGACTGTAAGTACAGTGTTTACTGTACAGTATTCGTGTATAGTATAGAATTGTGTAATAATAAGTAATGACAGTAACTGTTTCCGAATAGTTATGTAACAGATTTATTCTAATAAGATTAAAAGTTTAATTTATTTATCACAATTCTGGAATTAAAAGCTCATGAGTTCAGTTGTAGATGATTTAAGGGAATAGCTTGAAAGTGGGCTACTGGTCCATTTGCGCACGGGCAATGTGAGCCACTTTCTGTGCACGCTGAATCACTTGTGGGCAACGGGTCTTGCGCATAAACCGACAGTCTTGGAAGAAACCTTCATTGCGAGGAAATCCATTGGAGCCGTCTGCATATGTCACGAGTCCTGTGGATACAATAATTTTAGAGTGTGGGGAGTTATTTTTGTTAGAAGTAACTTTGGGTATACAATACTGTACAGTACAGTATATAGAATCTCATAGGCATTATTATCACCATACACCTGATGATTCCATGCTGATGTGTTTGACTTGGTTATGAAGAGTAGTGTAAATCTTGAAAGTTTATTGGTTCTAGAATAGTCATCGCATTTACATGTAGGATCATACTAGGATGCTAATTTATATTTTGAAAAAAAAATTGAGCTTCAAAAGCCGACTTATAGGCCACAATATAGAAGGGTGGATCCAGGGGGTCCAGATCCCCCCTTTTCATCAGAAAATTCCAATACATGTACTGTACTTTTTCTTTAATGCGGTATTGTACTCAGGCATTTTTGTATAAGAAAAAGTATTTGGTACTGACTTCAGAATATCTCCTAATATCAAGTGCGCATGGCTTCAAAGTGTCCATGATCTTGATCAGATTTAAAAAATAAAATCGGGCGGGCGGGGCGGGCTTGCACTGGCCATGTTTCCACACCCACAACTTCTTGGACTCCCCTCTGATATTCCTGGATCTGCCCCTGATATATGGTACCTGTGATAAAAGAGAATTGAAAGGTAAATGCATTAGTTGTCAAATATATTTATTTGTGTCACCCCCTCCCCCCCCCCTCATTTACAGGTCTAGAAATCAATTGGTATTATGAAAATGGGTTCTATAGGCATGATGGCCCAAAGGGGGGGCAATGTAAATACATCACACTGAATACAAGGACTAACTTTTGGTATACAGGGATTTATTGTTTCTGGAACTACACTTGACTGGCTTCAGTTTTCCAACTACTGTGCTGTACTGTGTATATTATTACAGTCATTCACAGCTGGGTGAAGTGGGGGTGCCATGAACACACCCCATCACCTTTAGGGCAGGGATGAGCACTGTATCCACTCAGTCACCTCATCCCTTAGTCAACATGATAAGATACTCAACAATTTAATATTACATTTTTATCAGGGAAGATTTCTTACCATGACCCCATATGCGACCACCTCGGAACTCTCCCTCAAATCTCATGTTGTCGTTCCTCCAGAATATTCCATGGCCATGGAACCAACCCTGCATAAATTCACCTTCATACCTGTGGAAGGTGGCTTCTTAGTACATAATTACCAAATTTTAGTTTACAATATTGTACAGTAGTAAATTTCCTTATTTCTTTAACCTTTTTTTTATTTTACATACCGGGGTAAGCCAAAAAGTATCAAGACAGGCATCCAACCTAACCCAGCTAATATATGAACGTGTCTGAGGTTATTGCTTATTTTCTATTTCACTGGACCCTGGGGTCTTGATACTTTTTTAATTGGCTGTATGTACAGTATAAGAAATGTATATGAAGATTTTTTTTATCAAGGATGCTTGGAGAAAATACTACAGTCACTGAATGGGACGTGGGCAGCCTAGGGGTAGTACAGTAGAACCAGTACAAGGACCATGCCCATGGATTGGAAAAGACTGGGCCGAGAAAGTAATCGACAAAATGAAGAATTAGAAAGGCAGCTGGAAGCTCTAGGATAGTTGCAGAAATGCTGAAAACATAAGGCAATGTAAATGTGACAATGGTGACTGAATTGACTTGTACAATCATGATGGAATGTACTGTTCCAGATTACTGTTATCATGAATTCTTACAAGGGTAGAGATGCACTTGAACACAAGAACTACAGGGGCCTGAAGTTGCTAGATCAGGTCATGAAAGTTATAGAACAAATAACTGAGAAATTGATAAGGGAAAGAGTGGACATAAACGAAATGCAGCTTGGGTTTACGCCAAGTAGGGGGACTGCAGAGGCTTATTTATGGCCAGGCAGCTACAAGAGAAACAGGGAAGGAGAGAAAATCATCTTTCTTATTTGTAGACTTAGGCATTTGGCTGATTACCACATGAAGTAGTAAAGTGGGCATTGGGAAAGCTAAGAATCGGGGAGTACCTTGTTAGAGAGGTTTTGGCATTACAAGAGGGCTCAAAAACCCCTTGAGAGTAAATGGTGAGGAATTAGAGGTAAAATTAAGAGTCCACCAGGAGTCAAGTGCGGCGCTGCCCTACGAAGTGTTGAAGCTCGCCACCAACTTCATAAGCACCATTCATCACCGACACCTCACCATTCACCACAACAACCATCACTTTGACCACCCACTACCATAACCTCGGCCAACCACAACCTTGACCACAACCATAACCTTGACCACCCACAATCACTACCTTGACCACCCACAATCACTACCTTGACCACCCACAATCACTACCTTGGCCACCCACAACCACTTCCACACCCACTACCATAACCTTGACCACCCACTGCCATTACCACCAGACACCACCTCTCACTGCCACTACCATACCATCAGCAACACCACTCACTGCCATCTGCACCACCACTCACTGCCACTACCATCAGCACACCACTCCACTGCCACTACCATCTGCACCACTCACCACTACCATCTGCACCACTCTGCCACTACCATCTGCACCACCACTCACTGCCACTACCATCAGCAACACCACTCCTGCCACCATCAGCACCACTCACTGACACTACCATCACCAACACCATTCTGCCACTACCATCTGCACCATTCACTGCCACTACCATCTGCACCACCTGCCACTACCATCTGCACCACTCACTGCCACTACCATCTGCACCACCACTCCGCCACCACCATCTGCACCCTCCTGCCACTACCATCAGCAACACCCACTCACTGCCGCTACCATCAGCAACACCACTCACTGCCACTACCATCAGCAACACCACTCACTGCCACTACCATCACCACTCACTGCCACTACCATCAGCAACACCTCTCACTGCCACTACCATCAACACTCACTGCCACTACCATCAGCATCACTCACTGCCACTACCACCCACCTGGCACCATCAGGGAAGAAGATGACTCCTAACCCGTTAAAGAGGCCATTCTCAAAGGAACCGTCGTAGCGGGTGCCATCAAGGAGGGCGAGATGACCCATACCATGTTTCTGGCCCTTCTCGTTCCAGTCGCCGACGTAGTGTGTTCCGTCGTCATGTTTGTGGCTTCCGTACTTGACCACGCCTGGACGCATACCTAAGACACACCAAAACTGAGTAAAAGCTGCAACTAGTACGGGAGACAAGAAGAAACAAGTGACAATGGAAATTTAAAAGCACTGCAACAGAGCAACTAACAAGACTTCGTTTGGAAGGATATTGTAATTAACTAGGCAACTCGAGAGCTTTTATATACAGCAAACACAAACGATAAGATTTATTATTTTGATAGAATGGTTAATTACCGAGCTGTGAACCTGTGTTAGCATCCTGGGTATTATAATTTGACTAACCACACCGTACTGTGATCCTCACAAATAATAAAACAAATTATCCCTGTTAATTATCAGTTCAACTTGAAGTATAGTTGCGCCCAGTGTGTTGGATATAAAGCTGTTACCAGATACAGTGAAGCTCCTGGTCCGAAAATGCGCACGTAAGTCGAAGCAACCTACCCCAGTCACACCTCAACTAGAATGCAGGATTGACTGTAAAATGTGGAATGAGTGGGAAACGTCTGAGGTGCACTCAGGTGTTCTTAGTACAGGCAGACTGTCACCCTTGCTACATAGCTTCTCCAAGACAACCTTTTATGGCTCTGCCACCAGTGTTCAGTTTCGCTAATTAGACGTATGGGGCACTGGGTATGTTCAGCCTTGGAGGGCTGTAGCCACTTAGTCAACGAGAAGTACTATCCAGCCTCGGCAGTAGGGTAACTAAGGTTTACCAGAGAGGGGGTACACGTACTGACTACACAGAAAACAGGTGACGTGTAAGTAGTGGATTGCAAGAGTAACTAGCATAATTTGCACAGATTGGCTGCATTGAGGCTGAGACCTTATAAGATGGTAGTTCGGGTATCAGATTGTGCTGACCGCCGATAAAAGACTGGAAAAGTACCAGGGAGGCCAAAATATCATATTCGACTACAGAATTTTTAATATAGCCCGTTCACTATGGGCTTGTCTAATTTTAGAGTACACGATGAAGACCTGGATAAAATGTTACTGGCATAATGCCTTGTCAACAACACAATAAAATAACGTAAGTAAAAACAAATTAATTTGGTAAGCTTTAGGTTAGGTTAGTCTGGATAAGTTTGATAAAACTGTTAGACATGCTTCTCAAAGTCTCAGGAGTTATAGTACACCTCTAGACCTAGTGATCCGCATCTAAATACAGTATGTGCGTCACTATTTTGTTGATTATATAGAATGGCAATTTTTATAAACTAGGATTCCGCTTTTACCCGTGTTTAAAGTTTCTTTACATAAGATCAAACATTCTTATGTACAGTGAAAGAAAAAAGTCGCGTTACACTTACCGTTCATTATGTTCTGAAACTCATGACGAAGAATTTGGGTAATTCTTCGTCGTGGGTTTCAGAAAGTACAAGCTTGGCGCGGCTAGGGGGATGTAACACGACTTTTTCTTTGACTGTACATCTTCATACTGTACTCGCTAATTTGGCAAGTTGATACCGAGAAAAAAAATATTACCTGGCAGACTAAAGTACTTCACTTGGCTAAATAACTTACGGTTAGCCATGGTGTAGTGTTGAGAGATATGGGTCCACCTGGTAATGACCTCAGCCGACGAGAGACTGCCGCACACCACCCACACTTCACCTTAACCAGTGTCATAAGGCTTCCTCCACACTACTCACCTCTGTCTCCCTGGATATTTTACCCAGGTTGATGGTGGCCTCGTTAATTATATGAAACCCATTTACGCTTACAACTAGTAACCGTGGGTATCAATATTTCTCAAAAGTGGGAGGGGGGGGGGGGCATTTATTTTCACACCGCTGGCAATCACGGCGACAGGTGCGAGTTTGCAGTACAGCACACATGATCGGTAAAGCCTACAATATATGCATTATGCGCTTGTTATAATTATTGTAAAATGTAAATACTGTAGTCTCTCCTGGAATACCGCCAAATTTTAGTGTACATAATTCTATATAGTAATTAACATAAGAAAAAAATATCTCTCCATACAGCGTTCAACTTCCTGATAGAAAGTTCTATCTCATTATTTTCAATTACTGGACTAGTATAATTACTAACCATGCACGTGCTTAAAGACCTTAGCTGTTGGGCCTGTCAACAGCTTCCTGGTACTGTTGGTTAGATATTTTTCCGAGCACAAACAACGGTCTTTAAAAAAAACACACCAAACCTAGTCTAATTGTAAATGTAAATCTCAAAATCTTAAATATATACGTATATAATTAACATCGGTACAATCTTGTGTCATATACTGTATTTAATTCTAATGATTATTGTTGAAGTTCCGTATCCTAGGAAAAGTGAAGACCTCCTGTCGAGTTTTGTGAACATAGTAATCTTGTTAACGCGGGGTCAGTTAAGTCTGTGACCAGTCTGAATAAGCTACCTTATAAATACGTAGCCAAATTTTAGCAAGGTAGGTACATTTTTTGCAAGATTAACTAGATTCTTTCCTACGTGTATTAAATCTGAGCAAGTTGTCTAAAACAGGTAAGTAAATGGTTTACTGTGAACTTTAATTATCTGTGGTACTTATTGTTTCAAGCTTACTGTAATTCACAATATCATTAGGTAATACTGCCAATTTCTTTGCTGTGAGATGTGATGCTGTTTACTGTAAGGTATAAATTGTAGTGGGGGTTGCTGTGAGATAAAGGTCAGCAATGGTGTGCAGACGGCTGCTGTACGGCTTCTTTGAGACGTGACTGTTGTATACATTGACTGACACGAGGGTGCTTCTATAGCGTGCGGTTTACAAAATATTTAGGTAAGTTTAGGTTAGGTTAGGTTAGGTTAGGTTAGGTTAGGTTAGACTAAACATATCCTTGTAGACCGCACGCTATAGTAGCGCCGACATGAGTTAGGAATGTGGACACTGATTTCGCCTCTTATCGTAAGGGTTGCTGATTTGCATTTAGGATATGCCTACACTTTAAAGTTGGAAATGTAAACGATCGAGTACAGTGCCGACTACATTGCTTCCTAGTATACCGAACAAACGTTTTGTAGTGTCATTAGCTACCCGATGATTGTGATAAATACAAATGGAAGCTGCATCGTGGTTAACATATGACACGGCAAAATGATAACCAAAACACTAACTTAAATCAAATTATCCCTTTTTTTATATTTGCATTATTTAAGATATCATATGACGCATGATGACAGTGGTGTATGAAGTTGACCCTCGAGAGTCTTCGTTTATATCCAAGACCTCTGTGACGGTGCAGCAGGTAAACATTTATCATCATTATCCTTGTCCAGCTGGTCTAGTCTGGTGGGAGTCATCAGTGATTACTGGTACAGTATTACGTTACAAGAACTGGTAACATCAATTTATTAGATAATTGAATGTTTAGAACGCCAATTTTCAAATACTGTACAGGTATCCCCCTATTTATGATAGGGTTGCATTCCTGAAAACCTTAACATATCTGAATTAACGCAAATTGCAAGCCTTTTAACATGGGTTTCAATGGGATATGCTCCTGGCCTGTCCAACGCAGACATGTAACGTAATATAAATGATCCTACACTAATTAAATATAGTAAATAAAAAACTAACCACTACAATAATAACAAGTCTGCCACTTAACAGTGTCTAACTTCGTCTCCAGAGACAGTCTATCTCAAAGCCTTGCCTCTCCCGGTGGTGGAAGAGTTGGTAGGATGCTTGCTAGCCATTTACAAAGTTACAGAGTTAGGTTAATATTCGTTTTATGGTTGTGGCAAGATTCTAGGTTAGGTAGGTTTGGTTGTTTAGGATAACTTAATTAGTAACACTGTACAGACCCCTTCACCAGTGCACTTACAGGTGCTCGTCATATCAATATTCCACATATCATGATTTTTGAGATTTTTTTTAATATTGTTTCAATTGGATTCAGTAGTATGAGTTTCCTTCTGTCGAATGCAAACAGACACAGGGCTGCCACACTGCACAAAACCTGATGACCCCCTGTAAATGCACTACTGAAGGGAACTGTACATGTTTGATATATTTTAGGTTTGGTTAGGTTAGGTTTCAACAGTGATTTGGAAGTTGAATTCTCATAACAAAAAGGAGCCACAGCCATTAAATGAATATTTACCCGGAATGTGAACAATAATGTTTTACTCTCAACATTAACAGTGATCACAAGGGTATGCAACGATTGATGACAATAACGTTTGTTACATGAGTGAGGCCAAATACGACCATGTTAAAACAAAGTGCGGGAGTTTAGTTCGCATGGTAGTTATGAGGTGGTTCAGATAATAACTATCATTATGTGTGGACTTTGCCTCACGTAAGTAATGAGAGGGTGTTAAAACCTAATTAACATTAATGTGGATTATGGCAGGATACAGTACTGTACTTGTATTTTACCAAGACCAGCAGTGTATGCAGTGCTTTTACTGTTATATTCATGGTGCTGTCTTCACCTACATTGACAGTCAGCTAGAATTTGGCATTGACATCCACGATAAAATCATTAAAAATTATATCAGAATGTTTTATATATATATATGATTCATATGAATAATTTATTAAGAGCATTCTTTGTGAATTTTATTTATTCATTTCTTCATGTATACAGTACTCTAGTGGACAGTTGCACCCTGTTTCATAATTATTTACATATACATAATTATATACATGTACAGTACTCACATTTCATATCATAAATTAATATCTTTAAAGAAATATGCCTGATCGGCGACGTCAGCGTCAACAGCGGGTTCGTCATGATGCTGGTGGTAAGTGATTAGATTTTCTGTTATTTATTATGAAGGCAAAGTAACGAGTTTCTCTTTATATTATTAAATATACAAGTAAATGCAAAAAATTTATAAATATTTATAGTTCATCATTGTAACCATAAAAATATTATACAGTACATATACTGTACTGAGGTTGATCTACGTACAATTTTCAAGGTACAATCCATGTACTGTAAAGTAATCCTGTAAATTTATTAATGTGTTATGTACAGTACCTGGAGAACAGCTTGTTCATTGATTCATATAAATTGAAGTTAATTATTGTAGCTTGTAGGAAAAATAGGGATGTATTCCTTGACTTTTAAACAATGTAATTTCACCTTCCCAATATACTGTAGCTGTTTAATTTTTATATCCACAAGTAAATCAATGTTTAATGTGTAGTGTACAGGTCACAGACAGATCCAGGATATTATGAGGGGGGATTTAGGGTGAATGGAAATAAGGGCATAAGAAAAAAATAACGGAAAAAAGTCAGTTGTGACTAGGAAAGCATTCACATTTCTTTTAAATACCATTAACATGTATAAACACAGAGCAGTTTAAAGTGGTTGTTAACTTCCAATGCATACATGGTCTCCACAGATTAACAGCACTATATACATTATCAAGCTCTACAGTATAGATATTTTAAAAAATCACATCTTATTAAATACTTTAAACATAAAATAACAAAACAAAGGTTGTTGTCATACTGCCCCGACAGCAACCACTGAAACTGTTCACACATTCCTACCATAACTTATTTTTACAAGTAATATGCTCAGTATACATGAACCCTTTGTAGCAGAATTTTGAACCACACTTATTATCTGTTAATATTTTCATTGGCAGTGAACTTTAATAATATTTATGGACATAATCTCATAAAGACCATACACAAGGAATACACGTTTCCTCTGTGAACTCAACATCATGATGGTCTTGGCCAGCCAGGCACAACTGCCAGTTATTGGCAGTTGCCTTGACAATGACATTGTAATTCTCACATTCAAAGTAATTATTAAAGTTATCAACTTACTGCAGTTCAGTGGCGTATTGAAGGAGGTGGGAGGGGGTCTTTTGGTCATGTTAGGAATCAAAACTTTATAATAATAATGCCATATTTCTGTCCTGTTACTGTTTATGCAACTACTGTACTGTATGAGAAATCACATGCTGCTCAATAACCAGCCCTAAAAATTTCCAACTTCAGTAGAAAATAGCCAATAAACTGCCGGAGCGTCCCGGCATAAAACCGTGCTGGCATTCCATTACTAGGTGTTTTGTAGTATGTGTTCCGTCATTGCATCTCTAGTACTTTACATACTATGCTGGTCAAGCTTACAGGCCTATAATTTATGTGCAATGGTGATCTCCCTGTTTGAATATAGGACTCACATATGCCATTTTCCAGTCACTGGGGATATTTTCCTTTCAACTAATAGAAAGGTATCGATTGTACAATTGAGTTAATACAAATCAAATGGTATTTCATCTGAGTGTCCTTAAGATTTTCCTGTAAAACAATGCCTGCACATGATATTCAACATGCATTATATAGCACATAAATAGTTATGCATATTACAAGCTGTATGTATGTCTTTTTACCAGGTAGCCAGAACTCTGTGCGTGCCAGTAACAGGGAGCCAGAGAGTGAGAGCACCCAACCTGTTAAGCCTCAAAGACCAGCAGGAAGTGGTGTTGCATATGCTGAACCAAAAGAGTACGAGTCTGGTAAGTCTTAAATTACCGTCTTCTAGCTGGTATCCTTCACTGGGCAGCTCTCCTAATACTGGACAACTTGCAGGAGTCCCTTGAGTTCTCAAACAGGTCCTCCAAATGTCAGCCTAGGGTATCTGTTAATTTTTCCAGTTATTTAAGTACTATTTTCCGTTTTTTGTTTATTTATTAAATTTATCCAACAAGTAATCAGAGTTGATCTTTAGGGTTTTTCAAGAATTAACTTGATAATCCATTTCACCAAGATATTGCTTACATGTTCAGTGGTTTAGAAATGTTCTTCATTTTGCAGTAACCATCATGCCAGATAAAGAAGTGGTTGAGCCTGAAACATATCATCGAAGGGAGGTTTTAAGTAATTGGTCGCGATACGAGGAAATACCATCCGATGAACCTGAATTGGGGGAAGACTACCTTTTGGGTGAAGACTTTTCACAAATTTTGGAACAACAAGGTAATATTTGGATACTTTTTGTTCTGTTTATCTTAATAGTGACATCTCTGTTTATATCTACTGTGATCACCCTCCTACCTATGTGTCTATATACCTCCGCATCAAGCTTTTAATCAGACAGCATTTGATCTTTATGTAAGTCTCAAAGAAATGACAATAAATCCATTTATAGTCAGCTTGGGTTGAGTGAGACACAGTAAATAAAGACTTCCTTATTTATTTGAATGCACTGTAATTTCTCACCGTGCTCACTAAATTATGAAACTGTGACCTTTTCCTCATCCACTTTTAACTACAATACTGTACTGTATACTGTAACATCAAAACTTAAATGCATTAACTTTTATCCCACATGAATATTGTGTGAATACTGTATATAGTTCAACCCCTAACTTTTTGCATGAAAATTTTATCATAAAAACTTGAACTGTACTCGAGTACTGTATATACTGTAGTGTATGTCATATGAAAAGTTGTGGGGTTGTTCCGATAAGCAGAACAGTAAGTTAAACAAAACAATGCATCTCAGTATGTGGGATAATAGGAGGTAAGAAGGTGAGCTGAGCTGTGGGAAAATAGATAATAATTAATATTTTTTTATGAATACTGTACTGTACCAAGACTGAAGTTTGAGCAAATAATTTTAAAGGAGCATTTTCATAAAAAAAAATGTTCTGATGAAGGAAGTATAACTGAATGAAAATAATACAATTCATAAAATTATTTTGAGAGAATTTACAACAAAGGTTACATATAGCAACTGAAAATATAGTTTTGTTACCAATAATGTTTTAAAATAGACAATTTCTTCAAGTACAGTACTGTAATAAGAAGGGGTTCAAGGATATGAATATTTTCTGTTTTACCTTTTATTGCATTGAATTACTGTACATTCCTGTCTGTAATAGTAAATAATTTTTAATGACAATCATTTCCTCTATAGCCAATTCTGGAGGAGGGCACTTCCGATTGAAAGGAGAGTCTCAATGGAATGAAACAGAGACCGGCATCCTCGCCTCACATGGACTAGGAGCCCTGCACGTGGCAGACCTTGTGGCCTCTATCAACACTGTTCCTCTTTATACACAGCTCAATATACCAGAGGAAGTGCTGCCAGTAAGTTTTGTCATTAACATCTCTTTTTCTTTTTACATTTCTCCAGCTCAATTTAAAATTTTGTCGAGGTATAATGGATGCTATTTTAAAACATTCTGTATACGTACTGGATGAGAAAGGAGTAATTTTCCATTGGTCTTTTTAATTTAAAAGCTCTCATTAAGTGAATACTGTACTTTTGATCCATTATCCATAATTTGAGAATTAGCCTGTTACTTATGGCTCTTATATTTTTAGCTAGGTATTATTCTGTATACTGTACTGCATTGAGTGTTGTTTGATTATTTGAGCTATGAACAGTTTCTCAAAGTTATTTCAGTATTGGTACATTCTTGGTGAATATAGAGTAGTTTGTCCTAAATAAAATTTATGCCTCATATTTAAATGGAAATAAATAAGACACAACGAGGAAACACATTTATAAATTCCAATTGTGGCTGGCTGAATGAGAGAGGGTTTGGTCCAGTCAGCACTAATGCACCTTGTTTCTTACTACTATACCTGTTTGGTTTCCTCTCTTCATCTCCCACTAAATTCACATGCTTCATGATTTAGACATTCTTATTTTTTGATTCACAAAAGAAGAGGCAGTCCTTACGACATACACCCTTATTATATGTAATTTTGTATTTTAAGAGTTTATTAATTAATGAAAAATTTTCAGTGTGTGTTACATATTTTTGCGGATACACATTTTTCTGTCATGCAGTTACTTTGGGCTACACTACTTTGTTATAATCTGTGCTAATCCACCAAATTGAGTTTACTGTGCAGTTACAAAACAGTACCCTTGGCTTTTGCCAGCCTTGGGCATCAGGTCAGGGACCTGTCCTCTGTATAAAGTGGCTTTTGTTGTGGATAATTTATATCCTGTGCTTTGTGGATTAAACCTTTCAAGTGTAGAAAATGGCCATAAAATGATGATGATGACGATAATGATGATTTGTTATACAAATGAAAACCCCAAAGTTACAAAAATATATATATATTTTTTTGTGTGTCATCGGAAGATGCTGAGATGCTGATACAGTACAAGCATCTGAGAGTGATTTCCTTTTTTGGTTGGTCATTGGTTTGGTTGTATGTATTTAGGAGGTAATTATGGAAGCTTCACCCATGCCCAACCCTCTCTCTTCTCAAAGAGAGGAGATACAGCAGGCTTCTGTGCTATTATCCTTCCCTTTGTAAGAGGGATGTGTTAGAAGTCTCTGGAGTGAGTTAAACAGTACAGTGAACATCTAATTTTTTTGTGTGTGTGTGTTTTAAGTTACACTATTTGTGATGACTTTTCATTTGAGTACAGTATACATTTAGTGGCGTTTTGTATTCATCTATTGAGTTATTATGCCATCTTTATTTAGATTGGTTAGTTTTAATTGGATAAGATGTTTGAAAATCAGCCACCAGGAACACAGCCTCCATTTATAACACACTCCATGGGAGAAACACTTTCTCATTCTGAATTTTTGCATTGTACACCATTTCTGTAGAACACATCCCATTGGTATAGTGAGGACTGCCTGTTTAGACTTCTTGATTTCAATAATAGCCAAACCAACAAAGATAATTTGTCTAAATTTTTTAAAAGGCACCATTTCAATTTCAACACTGCAAAGTATGGAGATTTGTAAGAGTTATGCTACATTTAGCTTGGTTAGATACTTTTGTGATATATTGATATATGAACTGCATTGTAATCAGTTCTCTTAATGGTAATGTTAAAAAAAAAAATGGTATACAGTTGTAGTTTACAACTAATGCAAATTTTCCTTCCAGATGTCTGTAGTCGAGTTTTACTTTCAATTAGCTGAAGATAATAGGAAACTCTACCAACCTAGCAATAACTACAATGAATGTTCTGATGTGAATGATAAGATCATCGAGAGTTTGAAGATAAGTGACAATGAACCTCTAAACTTGACTACTGAGGAACCTGAGACTAATCAGAACATTAAGAATGCAGTCGATGTTGCATTGTCACTGACTAGTGCCTTTGCCCCAGAACCTGAGGATGTTGATCTGGACACACTTTTACACGATCCAAGTGTAGAAAACCAGCCCAGTCCCATCCGGCAACTTAGTCCAGAAAAGCAGCCCAGCCCAGCACGGCAGCCTAGCCCTGTTAAGGCACCCACACCACTTAGGCAGCCAAGCCCTGTTAAGGAGCCCAGTCCAGTCAAGGAAATGCCAAGTAAATCCAAGAAACCCTTAGATGTCAAGGAAGTTAAGCAACCCACTCCAGTGCCTAAAGAGAAGTCAAATAATAAAAGAGAAAAATCAAAAGAAAAAAGTCCAGCAAGCTTTGACTTTGGTCTTTCAAAGAAAGAGAGCAGTGATAGTAAACCTCCAGCAGAATTCAACTTTGGTCTTCCTAAAGTAGATGTTGCAGCAAAACCAAAATCCAACAAAGTAACCAAGAATGTAAAAGACAATGTAGATGTTTTAAATTCTATGCAGGCAACAGAAAAAACTGAAGACATACCTGAAGGTCCGATCATAGACTTAGATGCACCGGTGGAGGAGAGTAAACCTGTTTTGTTAATAAGTAAGACTGAAGCAGACGACCTGGAAGATTGGCTTGACTCTATGTTGGATGATTAAAAGTGAAAAGAAACCCAGAAGTTAACATTGTTAAGTAACAGTATTACAACTGAAAATTACATACATATAGCTATTGTTCCCAGCTTAACTATCATGATGCATTTTTTTTTCTATAAGAAATTAAAAAACTTTTAAAATATTTGTGTTGCTAGCTTTGGGTTCTGTTAAAAAATATATTTCAGAAATGATATAGCACTTTCTTTTCTAATCATTTATTATTGTATTGTAATCTTGAAAAGGTGTTCATTTTCCTGTGTCTTTCTCAGCCAAGCCACATGTCACGTGTTTTCCCTGGTCTCGGCATCATCTGATTGACTTTTGGGGATTCCATAAACATTATTATTTGTGTTCTTAGAATGGTCCTGAAGATCCATCATTCCTCTGTCATTATAACATTAAGCTGCTTCAAACTCCCCTGGAAGTTACCTAACTTTTATATAACCTCATCTATCCCTTCAGCATGAAATGTCAGAATATATCAAGATTATCTGAATTAGAAAAAAAAAAAAAAAAACTTGTAGATCCAAAAACTTTCACATTACTTCGGTATCAGAGTTACTGAAGACCAGTTTATCAAAGTTTTACTGAACTCTGTTAATGTAGAATTATATTCTAATTGTGAAAAAGACATCATGATGTGTAACTGTGAGCTTGCTTTAGCTATACTGTATCTGTAGTGTACTCCATCATGATACTCAATAATAACTTGTTAATTGTCTCTTACTGGTAATGAGAAGACATCCAGAAGTTCTGTGTGTCGGTCAGTCTGAGTTGTGAACACGATACAGGTATTTCAAGAATAAATGGAGCTAGAGTCTCAGTCTTAGCTGCCATTTTGCCTTGTATGGACTTCTCAGCTGGGTTTATCATCAGTCATGGTTGCAAGAGATGTACTGTACTGTATATTTGTTGGATCCTGTTTGTTAGTTACTAAAACACCAGGAAATGTGAATGTGAATCAGCTTTTTATAGGTTACAACAAATATATAATGTACTGTATACAGGTATACTTTATATTCTCTTGACGGTTATTGAAATTATTGATTTAAATCCAAGCTAGAATCATATTCCTCAGCACTGGTTGATTGAATGTCATGATGTATTTTTATGTTTGGTTAATGTGCCTCTTATATAAAATAAATAAATGGGTGTTTAGGGTTACCATACAAGACTTATATTACGTCATGTGTGTGTGTATGCCTGTTATAAACCAAGCCTAAATACGTGAGACATACAGTACAGTACAGAACTAAAATATGTACAGTACAGTACTGTAATTGATAATTTAATACAGAGCTTGTAACCATATACAGTATTATAATATGGTACTGTGGTGTACTATGATATTTATTGGGTATGAGCAAGGTTCTCCATGGCTTCAGAATCAAGGTAGTTCTGACAACTTCCTTTATATGTTTGTTTCATATACAGTACTGTACTGTACTTGTTATTTTGTCTTAAATAAAAGTACAATACAGTATTTCTATTACTCCATTCTTTAGTCAGTTAACCTGTTGTTTAATTCCATTTGATTCATAACATACTTGTATGAATGAATATACTGTAGATTAAAGATATGGAACTGGTATAAAGCTCATACAGTTTATGAAATAACTTTAAAGTCATAATAGGACAGACTAAAAACATTTTCACTTGTAGAACCTATTGAAGACAGTTAATGGATGATAGAACCAACTCAAGACATTCAACAACTTAAAACTAATGTTGGTCAACTAGAACAAAATGAATGACTGGAGCACTTATTTTGATGAGGACCTTTTAATATTCAAGTCAGTAACTGTTTTCAGTATTGTGTGTAACCATGAGAGACCCACCCAGGTAGTGCCCCAGGAAGAGCCTCGGCGAGATTAAACATAAGGTAAGAAGAAATATAAACACACGATGAAACAATGTCTCAAAGACATAAGAGTTGAGTTCCCCTGACGTAGATGGTGGACATGACACTTTCCCCAAGTGCTTGTTAGAACCATTTTCTTTGGTTTCACAGACTGTAACTATAAAATCATTAATGTACCGTACTGTACTGCATTATTATACATAAGTGCGTTAATGGCTTCTAATCATTGTGTACACTGAAACTTTTCATTAAAAACGTGTTTTGCAGCATTTTATAAGATGTTAAGGGGTTTTACGGAAGTTCTTTTTTATGAACGTGTTATAATACTTAATGGGAATCTATGGGAAAAATAAACTTAATTTAGACATTTTTATTTACAAAAGGTTTTAAGGAATGGAACCTTTTTGTAAATTGGTGTTTGTCTGTAACCTTGACACCAAAGGGTAGAACAAGAATGGATTATGATTTTAGAGTTTCATATCTTGGGTAGAATAATGTTGGGAATCCAGTAATGGTGTTAGTTTTCATCCACCATGGTTCTTTAACTGGAAAATTTATATATATATATATATATATATATATATATATATATATATATATATATATATATATATATATATATATATATATATATATATATATATATATATATATATATATATATATATATATATATATATATATATATATATATATATATATATATATTTTTTTTTTTTTTTTTTTTTTCTAATTACCTTTTGTTAGATTACAGAAGTATTTAGCCCAAGAAACATCATAGCAATTATGTATAACTAGTTTGCAGACTGCGCTCCCAGCCCAGGCTGTCCTCCCATAAGGTATTTATACCAAAGTTAAACTGTTTTATTATTTTTTCATGTGTTAAGTAGTAAATTGAAGTAGTTGTGCACTATTTATCATTAGTTAGGTAGGTTTTGGTCTTGTTTGTGAACCGATTTTGTGTTTTTGGGGTATTTATGTCATTGGGGAACTGAACCCTATTTTTCCTACCTGTTTATCAATTAGTGATACGGAAATTCACCTTATGGAATTTTTTGGGAACCTAATCCACTCGTACCTCGAGGGATACATGTACTGTATACTATATGTTAGGCTTAAAGACTGAAAAGACCACAATGCGTTAGAGTACAGTGGTGGACCTGCCTAGTGGTACAGTGGGAAAGGAGTGCCACAAATGGACAATGGACATAACCAGTGAACTCCCACAAACTCGACGTGGTGACAAAGCACCGGAAGGAGCTACATCATCATTGAGAATCAGACGTGCCATGTTCTGTATACAAAGCAGACCTCTGTATTATAATGTAGTGCTCATATGATAACTACTGTATTGTGCGTTTATCATATATTTAATGATATTCGAAACCTAAGGACTTGAATTGGAAAAAAATCAAGCTGTGAGTATGTTGTCGAAACTTTATGGAATTTACTGTTTCGATAGTAAACATTAATATTTGATTGATATATATTGGGTGATAATAAGGATTATAATTATTATATAAGCTATCATGGCCTGTCGTATCTCGTTAGTGTTTTGTTTATTGTACATGCGCCATTAGATAACATTGACACAACTAATCAACATCCTGTCAAATAACCTCCTACCAAAAGATTCACAACAGCCTGCCTAGATGATCCGTTAATACTACAAGACAACAAAGAGCAGGTAAAGTTTCTGTTATACATTATACAGCAATACCGAATGAATTATTATAGCAGTCACTAAATATTTATATATGCAGCAACACGTGGTAGTCAGATAAGGTGAGTTGTGCCTTTAATATATATCTTATCGTTGTTAATTGGACCTCGAATAAAGATATGTTATTGTGACAAATTTCTTGTTTATTTCGAGTAATGTGAACAAACATCTGTTCTTGTTCAGGTTTATCTTAAAAACGTATTTTATCTATAACGAAATTCAGTGCATTAATAGGGTCACAATTATGTTGGAAGTGGCTGCAAGGTGAAGTAGGCCGCGCGAAAGTGTCGTCACCTTGGGAAATGGAAGTTGGTACAGTTGCTACTTTTTTCCCCTAGGACGAATGGTATCATTGGCCGCTGCATATACTATAGATAGAATATCAGCTGGTAAATAAAAAAATGCCGATTAAGTATGTCTGCCGCATAACCATCATCACCCACCTTCTCCAATCCTCTCATCCCATCGCCTACCACCCCCATCCGCTCCTTTTACATCATGCCTAATCCTCCTCTACCTTCACCCACCACCTACAGACCTCCCTTCCCTTCAATCACCACTCCCAAGCCCCTTCAAATCCCTCAGTCTCCCCCTTCTTTCAAACCCCTGAGCCCTCCACCAGAAAGGAGGGCGTAACTGGTTAACTGGCTGGGTGGTTGCTGGAGGCTCCTCCGCTCCGACACTCACTCAGTGTTTGTACGGACGTTTCACCGTTAGGAGGTGTTGTGTGTATCAGTGTCTGGCTGGCTCACTGGCTCTAGCGACTCGCAACTCACATTTACATAGACATTCTAAAAGGGCTCTATAAAACTTCCTTTTCCAAATAGAGAAAAGGAAGATAGTGAAACATCCGCAGAATCGGAATTCCCATTGTTGCAAGAGTTTTAAGAAACTTAAAAAAATCGCTTCCAATTAGCAAAATTAAAAGACGATAATTAAATAACTCAGTTTGTGTCGAAAATTTTACTGGGCAAAAACTATCAAAACCTCAATAAAACTTGGCCCTTTTATAATTCTGTAAAATAAACAATAGTGAAATATTTCCAGTGGCGACATTTTCCTGGAAATGTGAAAATCGTGTAGGCTACTAGTAAACTGCAATTTTAAGACGTTCAAGGGTTGTTTGTTGTAGAAACAAGCTTACGGTTGAAACACTTAAAATTCGGACAACAACGCCGTGTGGTAATTTTAATCGAGGGGAAGATGATGATCTGTGTGTAGGAGGAAGCTTGGAGCGTCTGCCTGTGTACCCCCACCACTACCTTCCCACTCCACTCCATCATGAGCTCGATCATCCTCGCGTCCTTCAAGGACCGCTTCTGGGTTAGTGACACTAAATTATAGTAACGCCTTAGAGGAGTAAAACGGGGCTACTTGGCTGGTCTTAGGGCTACCTGGCCGGAAAGTTCCTACAGTGTACAGGGAAAGTATCATCAACGTGTACATCAGTATTTCATACTTAGGGAAAGTGAAGCTCATGTGTACATTTTGATATAACACCATTGTGTATGTCTATCAGGGTGTACATAAACACTATCACCTGTGCCCCTAACCGTAATGCACATATTGTAGTCTCAAAGGGTCGCACGTTATAATTATACTCCATCGTACTGGTGAAGTGAGAACGCGATTATGCTTCAAAATCATGGCGGTGGCGAATGGTTATTAACGCCGTCCCGTAACTAGACGCATTCTCTCTCCTAAATTGTGTAAATAATTCAGCGTACATCCTCGTGTTTTTTTGAGAAATCAGACATTGGTAAACAACGAACAGTCATCGTCCGGCATGGCTGTTACTGTAACATGCGTATTTTTTTTCAACAGGTAAAACGAACCAACCAGACCTAACATAACATAATCTAGTTAACTTTGGTAAGATATATTCAAAATTCTAAGGTTGGGTGAGTATTGGTTGGTTGGATTGACTTGCTTTAAATTTTGATTTGTTTGGTTTTTATCAAAATTTAAATCTGGAAAATCACAAGTCAGAATGTCATAAGATGAATACCATTTCATCTAAGACGTTTGTAGGAAGTAACAGCTGTAATGGGTAAATATCAACCTCTATTTATAGGTCACCCTTACCAAAATAAGATCAACAGTGAAAAGGCATTAAATTTAACATAGTGGTTGATAACATAGCATTACACCAAGTATTTTTCCTGTGTTTGTGGTAAAATTGGTTAGTAAAATGTAAGTAATAAGTAGAGAGCAGTAAGATGATAAGTTGCGAAGGTGAGCATGACAATAGTGTAGTTTGTAGAGAAAGAGTGTACTGTAAAGCGTCCAGTATTTCTTGGATATGTATATTTTAAAGCAGCGGCACAGGTAGTGGGGTGGTGGTGGTACCGAGAAGTGTGTCAGGTGGTGGCTGTGGTTGGTGGTCTTGCAGTCCCTCCTCCCACAGCTACCACCACTACTACCTCCCTCACTTCTCTAGTACCTACCCCAGACACCTGCCGTGCGTCACTGAATAAACTTCTTTTTTCGTACAGTACTTGTCATGCACTTCAATTCAGGTTAGAGGGCCTATATACACGTTGTGCATCATGCTTCTGCACTGTTCTTTCGTATCTGCAAGACAAAAAATAACTTTGAACCTATGAGAACCCGAGCTCTGAGTTGGTACACTTTCCTATGGGTTTGACGTTGGTAGTGGTGAAGGCGGCAACATGTGATTATACCACGTATGTGTCACTACAGTACAGTATTTATATTTATTTTCGTAGTGTGAACTTTTTTGTAATCGCTTTTCAGTATATCTCATTAATACGTATTGGTACTCTTAACGTTTACGTGAGAATTGGTCTACAAAATTTCTCTCCGTTTGTCATCCCGACTTCAATCTACCGCTGCTGTCCATCACGCAGACAACATGAATGATCTTCAGCAAATT